AAATTTAGGATGAGCAAAGCTTCGGATTTTGATGCAAATGACATGTATTAATTTTACCATTTGTCAAAATTCCTCACTCTGGCATAACCTTATTAGATACTTGAGTTATTATATTCCCAATTATGTCACCAAATACATTTGTTGCATATTAAAGATATCGGTTTTAAAATTATAAGATTTTAATTATTAATTTATATTATATAAATTTACTCCGAGTATAAATAAAATATATAATATCTAAGGAGAGTATGTTATATCATTAAACTAAAAAATAAACATATTATTTTTCTATTACACATTTTCAGGAAATACCTCATCAAAATATCAAAAAAATCAATTAAACATACAAAATAAATAAATAAAAACTAAACATGCACAATTTTTTGTTTTTTAAAAAAAGTAGCACAAATAGGTCTCATAAAGAGAGTGGAGAAAATTGCTGAGATAAAAAAATTGAAAAACTCGACACGTGTGCTGGACGCTCTGCACGTGTGCGTGGGATCCCAAGTTTTTAAACGCTTTCAACCAACTGCACCTATATAATTTGACCAAACTATTATATTGCACATGAATTAAGCATGCTTTAAACTCAAACTGCACTATACATAAAGGTTTACGAATTTCAATGAAATAATTACACATATTGAAAAATCAGACAGAATCTTCCATGTAGTTACTATTAATCATGTAATCAACATATGTTAGTAGTTAATTAGTATAATAATGATTTACTCCCTCTCCAAAGCCATATATTCATGTTTTGCACATAAAATTAGAGATTGAAGTTGGAGTTTTTAAGGTTTTTAATCCAAATTAGGGTAACTTTGATATCTATTGATAACTTTATGTATAATAAATTATACTTAATTTAAAATCCACCATAGTAGAAATTTAAAACACACAAAATGTACTTAATTTTTGATACATGACTTTAGTACGGAAACAGCACAAGCACCAAAATAATTGTTAGTAATCAATACATTAGAATCTTCCTTATCTTTTTCGACAACTCTTTAATGAGTGAGAAACTGAATGTGCAAAGCAAGAAGTAAGACTTAACCTTTTTCTTATATAGTGAATCAATCTCATCCATTATAAGATTTAAGGTTTTCTTATACAAGTTTATTCCATTAAAATGACATAAAATAATAGAGCTTAACCAACTCTATTAGATTGTATTTTGAATTATAATTTTATCTCATTATCTAGACTTAATTATTTTGAATTTGATTTTTATAAAACATAAAAAATAAATAATATAATTTTACACTTTAATTATTTGGAAAATCTATAAACAAATAGTTATAAATGATATTAAGCGAACAATATATAAATTAAGTAGCCAATAGCAATTGTACTAAATTTTACGACATATTATCTTTTCCTGTCCTTTTCGTTATTTATTTTTGCTTTTTGTCATGTATGCATGGGCACAGTCCAAGACTCTGTTATAGCAAGTTGTTAAAAATGGTACAGATATGTTGTCATGCTAATTATTATTATTATTATTATTATTATATTGAATTTTAATTTTGAAACCTAGAAAGTGTAGGAAGCATTCTTGGTAACGGTTGCTTTTGCTTTGATTGGACATGTATTTGTATAAAGGGATCAGTTGTTATGAGAGATCGGGGACCCTTTCCTTGTTGCCTTAGCACTTAATTTTGAATGTCAAATCAAGGTGCAAGAGTTGGGTGCTAGGTCTGGGGCCATTTGCAAAAGCTCCAACACAGACAGCTTACTACATATCCAACAAAACAATACAACATTCAAGACCAACCAACTACCTTGTCAGGACCTCAAATTTTCACGTTTATTACAAACTGGTTTTCTCGCAAATCCAACAAATTTTTGGCTTCATTTTCTTCTTCTTCATGCTATCAGCTAACCTAGATTGCTTTACTGGTACATTGGGACTGACGACATCAATTAAGCTTTCTGTCTGTTTTTCATTTCCTTTAAATCTAATAATCTTTTGAGAATATATATATATATATATATCATATTTTTCTAGGTCTTGGTGCGTAGGAGCTACCTATATACCAAATTTTTCTGCGTTAAAATACCTAAAACTAATTTCAACTGGATATTGATATGGAGTGATGAATAATGGTTGCATGCAATTGTCAAGGAAGCATTCCTGATGTGATATAACATTATTAAGCTTGATGTGAAGCTTTTCTTCGCAGAAAATATAGATGCAAGTAGATTAATCCTACATAACTAAGGTTTCCACTCACAACACTAAATAATAATAATAATAAATAAATAATATAAGATGTAAGATTATTATGAAATGCAAAAAAAAAAAAAACCAATCCTTTCATGTAATCCACAAGATAGTAGAATTTTATATGCACACACAAAAAGAAGGGATGGGTTCATGAATACAAGAGTCATATGTTTCATTTTCGTATGTAACCATACATGAAAATTCATATTTCAACCCTTTGGGTCAAAATGTCATGACCTGAAACAGCATATATATATATTTTTTTCTGAAAATTCTGAAAAAGTATATACTTAATTTGCTTTCTTGTGTGTATTTCAGTTTGTAGTTGATGTGCCAATACTCCTAACTTTTAATTAGAGGCATTGGTAATGATGTGTAGATGTCATAATTTTGATATTACCTATCAAGCCCATTGCTTTCTTATAATCACATTCATTAGTCCGTCGAAAAACCCCCTGTTACATTAACTGATGTTAATCAAACCTTGGACCTCGAATGATTAGACATCAAGCTTTAATGAAGAAAGTACAATGCTAGGAACCTGGAATTACGGCTTAGTTTGGCTGGTTCGTGGTTATATATCAATCACTTCCTTTTCTTTGAAAATTGTGTTAAGGGAAAAAGATATATATCAGGAAAATTATAGATTTGTTTCTGTATAATCCTTCATTATCTAACCGGAATTCATTATCATGTGGAAAATATAGATATAGTCTTATTAATGCTATTTTTTTATTTTAATTAAGTTTTGTTTAATTACGAGAAGTGACCTTCAAACTTTGTTTTTTAAATAGAAGATTATATACCAACCAATGAATCAAATGTTCGAATATTTTTTTTTATTTTAATTAAGTTACATGTTCATTCAATCTATTATTGATCTTTCAATTTTATTGATAATAGAGGTTTACACTTGAGACTAAGGTAGTTATCAACTTAATTATTGCCTTGCTTAAGCTTATAAATTGATGTGTGATCTAGAAAGGGAAGAAAAAGACTATCATCAACTTAAAAAAAAAAAGTTGAAGGAATCATTTTTATTGAGATCATATCCTCAACATTAGACTTATTACTTGGTTTATATTTTTCTCTACTCAAAAAACTTGATTGGAATCTTTTCATCACAACATAAAAAGGAAAAATCAAATTCGGATGTTAGTACACAAGGCCTTTTCTTCAAGGACAAATAATCAAATATTTTCTTCATTGAGAGGATTAAGTACTCATTCATATCTCAAATGAAACGATTGAATGATTCTATCAAATTCTATGGGTTAGAAACAAAATAGTTTTGCTCCCGCTTGCTTATTGTCAACTTTTTAGTGTAAACCCTTTCCCTTTCTATTGCTACTACTCTTGGAAAGGCATATTATCATGTGTCTTGTTCTTCTTTATTCCTTTCATCCAACACAATACTCGAGTATACTAAAGAAAAGATTTTCCAGCCTTGTTCTCTTTCATGTCTACTTTCTGCTTAATTGCAATATTGCCTCAACTTTCACTGGAGCCACCTTCTTTTCAACATCCATACATGTTTCTAGATCCTTATTAGTTTCTTGCATTAGTCAAAATAATAATAATGAATTGCGTCTTTAGCTTGGCTCAGGTCATATACGTCATCAAAGTAATGAAAGTAATCAAAAGATTTAAGTTTTTTTTTTTTTTTCAGAAGCAGGTAATGTATGGTTATATTCCATGAAAAAGAAGGGATGAATTATCCCATAACAACCAAGTCCAAAAACCGCAGCAACACCAAGAAACGACCAGCAGTGGAAGAACCATATGGGTAGACCTACAGATGACATATATCTTACACTGAAGATAAACAAAAGAGACCTTACAAAGAGCCTATACATCATTCCTATACATGAGAGAACCCCGTACAAGAAAATACCCCAGCAGGACACAGGAGGCAACGGCCTTCAACAACTTCAAAAAGGATCTTGGCATGTCAGCAGCCGCAAAAAAGCCTCAAGATTCAAGTTTTCTTAATAGTAATAAAAAAAAAAGAATTATTCTTTGTTAACGTGTAGCAAGAATCTGAACGAGTAATTAATTTCTGTAAATAAATAAATATATATGTATATAAATCAACCAGTTTGGAGCAACATACAGCTCCCCATCAAGAAAAATGCAAGATAGGAAAGATCAGCTGATTAGCCATCCGGTGAAGCATGCATGTCTTGATGTCCTCCAGTAACGAGGAACTGAAGGAAAAGGGCAACGGAGGACTAACCTAACAAGAGGAGATATCCCCTCCCATAAAGCCCCCAACAATTTGCCAGGTTGTGCCTTAAGGGGAGCCCTAGTGGCAAATTATTTTATCTACCCTTTTAACTTTAATCCCATGATGGAAGCAATGAATGTATAGAAACAGCACATATGGGTTGTCGGGAGTTGGATGCAGACCTGTGAAATGAAGTACTTTTATCACCTAAAAACTAACAAGACGTCTATACATGGATATATAGTATATATTTCATGGTGAGAACTGAGAATTGCATACCCGTTTTGGCATTTTCCATAATTCCATCTTCCTCAGTCAGATGTAATTAATGATCAATCTAGCTAGCTAGCCATGGAATAATTCCATATGCTTGCTATAAAATGGACTTGAGAGATTAACAAGGAAGAAGAAGAAAAAAATAATTCCATATTTTTTGGATCAGTTGTTGCTTAAAAAAAAAGAAAAAAAACTGCAACACCAAAAATTAACTGATAGTATATATATAATGATAAACTATAAAAAGAATCCATATTTATGAGAAATTATAATCACTTTATTCTTTCTTACGAAACAACAATAATTGCTTGTAATTATACTGGACACCTTCTATAGCTGTAACTATAATTATGATACATCATAGAATTCAAATGCTTAATGTAAAGTATCCCTCCCCTTTGTGCTCACATATATACATATACACAGGTAATATACGTATATGTATATGTATATATATTCACCGATGAATGGACATGATATTTATAATCCTATACAACACACATGACTTTTCAAATCATACAGCACGAGAAATTAAAGATTACAGGAACAAGTTACCCTCCCCTTCTTGAACATCAATGGAAGAACAGTTCCTATGAAGCAGCTCCTCTATCATTTGCAGTGCAATTCTCTCCTCTTCATCCATCTCCCCTCTCAGTTCAGGCCCTGCTAACCCTGGGGACTTGGAAGGCAATGTATTGGCAGACACTTCAGCATTTCCTTTTTCAAGTTGGACAGTCATGACCCAATTGGCATCTGAGCTCTGGCCTGCCCGCTTTTGCCACACTCCTATATGAGAATTCTCAGTGTCAAGCCTCAGACAAGTCATGGAAGGAGAAGGTGCCTTGCTACATTTTCTAAGCTTGGCATGGAGGAGTTCAGATAAATCATTTGGAGGAGATGAATGGGAATTTTCAGTGCCTGCTTTTGTGTCTCCACTTGGTGTTTGTGAGATGGGGAAGTTCGTTTTCGCATTCCTGCCACTCATTAAGATGGCTGCTTGATCATAAGCTCGCGCTGCTTCTTCAGCTGTTTCAAATGTACCTAGCCACACCCTTCTCTTTCTGCAACAAAATACGTCAGAGTTAAAGAAAATAAAAAAGATTCAATAAGAGAATTTTGAACATTTAATTGTATGTCTTTGCCACTGCTGTTTCTTCTTTCCAATAATCTTCCCCAACCAAGAAGGGAAAAAAAAAAGTCAGAAAAGCTTGTAGGTTGACTTACAGCAATGGGTGGCGAATTTCAGATACCCAGGAGCCCCAATGTCGCTGCCTGACACCTCTAAACTTCTTTGACTGCACCATAATTAGGAAACAGATGGAGGTTTTTTTTTTCTTTCTTTTTTCGGCTAACTCAAACAGATGGAGAGTTGAAATTGGAATAGGTACGGACAGAGAAGATGCATCATATATGGAGACGGATGAAGTACATAAGAGCTCAAAGAATTAGATATATGGGGAGATGGATAATCAGAGGAAGGTTTAACTGAAAAGATGCATTGTCGGCGAACAAAAAGGCATGTTCTAAGAAACTTTCATTTAAGATCGCCACCTACGCCTTCATTAAAATTATATTAACCTACCAAATAAATGACTGGGGCTTACCTTGCAGAATACTCTGTCATCAGCTGCTTCTCATGCACTATAATTCCATGTGATTGAAAATAATGTAAAAGTGACACTGATGGGACAAATTTTTCATCAATTATACTAAACCTATGACTTCTTGTTTAAGACCATCAGTAATATTGCAGAATCAAGTGTAAGGTCGACAGGTTATTATCGAAGAAAATTAATGGTTTGGACAATGATAAATGGTATATGGTTTTAGCTAATTAATCTTGTTTGGTTCTTTTTGGAGAAGTTTATGAACTTCACATGGAGGAACTATTCATGTAGGCCCAGGGATTAAAAGGACGTTCCAAGGAACCAATGAGCTGATTGGAAGATGTTGCTAGAGGCTGGGGGATATGGCTTATCGTTCGTCAGCATCAACTCCTAGGAAGGATGCCGACTGATCAGCTTTGTTCCACTAAGGACTCTGAGTTTCGCAGCTCAGCTCAAAATGCAACCTCTTTGCAAATATGATGACTTAATTCATATCTCTTTTAAGAGAAACTGACTACTCACCAGGCAAGAGAAAAATAGTTATCCTTGCACACGAGTGTAGGAACGATGGAGTACAACATCAGATCTTATGACTCTCACCAAATTCTATAGTATTCTCCCACATCTGCTTTGAATTGGCAACTCTTTATATAGATTTTTTGAACTCACTGTTCTGTCCATTCATTTTATTAATTTATCAGCTGAATCAATCAGCATGGTTTTTGTTCAGTCAAGGAACTTTTTTAATTTCCCCTACAAACCTATAAATAATTTTATGCTTAATGATATAATTCAGAGAGCTTTTTTTTTTTGTTTTTCATATAAGTAAAGACTATAACCTATAAAAACTAAATTTGCGGTTCAAGGAGCTATAGATAACATAGAGAGACTTAACTGGAAGCACTTGGATCTGCAACCAGTTAATTGACTCTCTCAAACAAATCGCATGCTTGATGATTTTTGGACAGCCTTTAAACTTTTTCCTTAGAAAGAGCCGATGGAACTTATATGGGAAGGCTAGAGTGTCCTACCATGATGAAGTCTAATGTGTTGAGCTTTTGATTCATGACCCCAAGTATTACAACCAATGCATGCCAGTTCATAAGGTTATTGCTGTTGTCGTGGCTGATTCAGAATCACTCAATTACACCCAAGTTAAAGCACATAGAAAGAGGTTAGCAATTAATCTTTGATTTTTCCTGATCTGCCATCTGAGATCAGTAATGTTCTAACACGACTCCATATCTCGACACAAGTTCATTTGATCTGCATATTCTACAGGTTGCTTATAGATTAGTTTAAACTGCTTAATTAAGCCAGGTCTAACAGATAAATTTCTCAACACCTCCCTCCCTCCAAAATTTAAAAAAAAAAGAAAAAAGAGAAGAATAAATGCTCATTTCTGTGTGGTGATGCTAACTCCTGAAATTTCAGATTTTTACATACAATCCAGTGGAAAATCTGTTCGATTAAAATTAATGAAACGCTATTGTTTAACCGAAATGAGAAGGTAGGGCAGAAGAAGTATGTACTGAATATAGATTTGATCTTTCCTTGCAGTTAGAGAAACGCCCTGCCGCTACCTCACTCACCATCAGCTCACAATTCCTATGACCAGTCCAACAAAGCTCACCCAGGAAGGTGGGAAGATAACAATGTACTACCTTGCTTTGCTTGGCTAACAACGAAAGACGACTTGATGATACTAATTACTATATTGATGATGAGGAAACAATTGGACCCCATTACAGCTGGATGGTGAAATGTCAAAGAATAGAGCAGGGCCATCAACCTCAGCTTCCATACGACAAGAAACTGAAAGATCCCTTCCAAATAAATTGTAACTAGCATATCGCATGTGCAACCTCTAGTCCTTTTTCCCTTTTTTTTTTCTTCTGGTTGGGGCCTTGTGGTTTACCAATCATTTCTGTCATCTAACTTTAGTTACTTGGTATGAACTACATAATAATTACCCAGGACTTGGAATTCAGTTAAATTTTATGATGTACCAGTAATACATTCATGGGATTTTGCAACCTTCCTGGGGTAGGAAAGTGAGAAGAGAAGTAAAAGCTCTTGTTCCATAAAGAAGTTATTTAATAATGGAAAATATTATTGTCTTCAAGAATTTCCAAGAGTACTAGAAACAGGAGGTACAGTTAAGGCCACAGCCAATAATGATTTTCACTGCATCTCCATTTAAAGGTTGCCAACATGTCTCTCTTCCGATGGGAAATCCCCACCATTACTGAAGAGATCTCTTTCTCTTGCCATTTTCGTGACCCCTTCGGTTGCAACTTTCTGATCTACAAAGGTTGAATGTTAAAATATGAAGTTATTCTGCTGTTTCTGTATGATCAGTCACACGATTGAAACTAGCTTTAAATTGCATGGTTGCATCTCCTATGACTGCGTTGAACCCTGGACTAGTGGGGATGCATAGGTGGTGAACCACTAGGCACATGGCTCAGCTCTCAGCTAGAGTTACAGCTTCACTCTCCATTCATCATCACCTAACTGGTTAAAACAAACCATGTAGGCTGTAGCCATGCTTTTTTCTTTTTGAAAAGCGATTTAATTAGCCTCACCACCATTATGCCATTACAAGTCTGTAGCCATACTTAATGGCTTGCTTAAACAAAGCAACTAATATCCAGCCATCTTGACCTGTGTACTTACTAGGTTTGTGAATTTAACATACGCCACGAATCCAAAAGCAAAATCCACATGCATGACATGGATGTGTAGCCATTGAATGAATTTTGTTCGCAAATGGGATCCCCATTCTCGATCGTTCAAAACACAAACTGGTGGCTGAACAATGTGGTCCAAATGACCCAGGAATAGTTTTCAGCATTATTATAGCACCGATCTCCAAATGTGAATGGTCCTTTTCTCCTTCTTACCCTTTCTCTTTCTTAAAGAGTTAAGTCCCCTGCAAAGGGAATCAACCGCAACCTGGTCCTCAGACGAAAGCCTGCTTCTTTTTCCTTTGGGCTTTGGCTTGTCATAATGGCATGTCCCTCATTTGGTTCAGTATACTTTTGGAAAAAAACTTGCAGAAAGATTGAACTACTACTGTTAAAATGTTTTATAACCCATTTAAATATAAGAAGACTTTAATAAATTGTGTAAAAGGAAAAAAACCACCAAAAAAACCCAAAGAAGAAAAGAGTGGATAAGATAAATGCAAGTCTCTGCCTCAAAATTTTTGAAGCTAAAATTGCTACTTGCAGTATTAACAGTGGCTATGACGGAACTACTAGAGAAGCCATGCTAGCATAGTTTTAGAACCTAAAATTAATACTCAGAAGCTGACAACTTTATATAGGAATGGAACTGTAGAGACAAGAATAGCCATGCGCCGAGCAAAAAAAAAGTATATCCATGCAGTGGAAGTGCAAAAGAGAGGAGAAATATCCTGTATGATACGGCAAATCTATAATGTGATGTATCCATTTCTTCAGCCAAATAAGCTATGAACCATGACAATGGTAAAAGCAAATGAGTTCATGCAAAGCAGAAATATGTTGGGGCAGTACACCCCAAAAGCGTATTCCTACACCCCGTGAAATGTAACATGACTGACGATAATCTGGTGCTATTACAAAAACGTAAGCTTGAGGCACCAAAGGACCATGAATTGAGAGTTGAAGAAAACAATTAAAACCTCAAGAAAGTACCTCTGTCAAAACAAGGACCTTGAATATCATTCATGTCATTATTATAGTTTTACATCCAAGAGCAATCTGCCCAGAGTAGAATTCTCCTACAATTTCATCGCAAAGAATAGGAAGTACCTGTTGCAGAATTTTTGTAAGATGCGTAAATTGGAGGGTTAGAGGTGCAGATTTGAAAATTCAGAGGAAAAGCATTCATCAAAGATATGCTAACGTAACTTAGACTTTAATTGAGGTCTTTCGTAACAAAAAGATCTACACCTGGAGGTATATTGTTGCATGTTGGATGCGTTGGGTTGAGGAAGTCGAGGGTACTTTAGAAATTGCAATATTGAAACAAACAGAAAACATAGAGATCTAGACAAGTGATTCGTATCAAGCTTTTCCTCCTTAAGACAATTAAGTATTGAGGCATATATACAAAGTAGAAAAGCAAGGGTTTTTCCTTTATGTTTTTTTTTTGTCAACCAAAATAAGATTTCTATTAATAATCTGAATTGGATACAATTCTGGTGAGAACCAGAAAGTTTGAAAGAACAGGTCTAAGGACCTGTTATTGAGCAGAGGTTTTTGGGGGGAGATTCCCCACAAAGACCGTAACGTTTTCTTCCAATGGTATTGTTTTTGGGTGCCACCAATCGTTAGTCACGATGGATTCCTTCTTGCGCCGATTCTCTTTTAGGCGTCCTCCCTCACCTACTGGTGGAAAATGTGAATCCCTAATCGTTTCGAGTTTGTGATTCATGGTGGGCACAAGGTAACTTACTTGAAGTACGAGATGATGCCTGTTTTTCCTTTCTGTTCAGTCATACGAAAACTAAAGTAAGCATGTAAGCAACAGAGTCCTAAACCTCTCATGGGCCAATAAAAGAAGAACAGAAGGCCGTTCATTACATAGCACCGATTTAAATCAAGAGAGAAGCAAGCAACTCAGCTTTTGAACTGCAGCTGATAGCCTTCTTCACATGCCTTACACTTTTAGCTTGGAACCTGCTTGAGGAGAGCTCTGCAATATCAACAAAGGGTAGCAGAAATTATTACTTTGGAGACGAAGTGAAAATAGAAAATACAAACATGCATTTGCACATGGCCTATCTGGCATGGTAAGAGACATTATAAATAGGAACAGATAACAATTTCTTTGTTCGGACAAAATCACTATCCTAATTTAAAAGCCTCTTCTCATTCATGCTGGTCTTCAAAGGCAAATTATAATTCTTCAATTAATCAGTCAGAAAATTAACATAGTGATAACCAGAGAGCTTTATTCTCAATGATGCGACAAATCTTCTGCAACAATAACAGCAGAAGTGTGTGTTCTTCATGGCTAAGAGTCCAGAGTAACAATAAATGTCAACAACAGTATGTACGTGAAAAGTTCTAATTGCTAGGCTCCATGGTCATCATAGTTTGAACCTATAGTACAACTACCATGAACATGAAGCATAGAGAATAAAAAACAAGATGAGTTAAGTTCAAAGAAGTTTGCATGGGCATCCGCATGGTCAAGCTGGTTTCACTGCAATGGAATCTGACGGATAGAGGAGCACCACTACTGATACCTGCATGTGCACCATGGGATCAAACCATCTCCTGGTTGCCAAATAAGTAAGCAAACGAGTCGCATTTCAACCAAACAATTAAAACCAAACTAACTACTTACATTCATCAAATAAGGTATGCCCACTCTATGTTCCTATCAATCTAATCGGTCAAATTAAACTGCATAGTTTTCTACAAAAGTTTAAAATCCCCCCCAACCCAAAATTTCTAACAGAAGAACTCGTGACCATGAAGCCCCAATTTGCTTAATCCTCGATTGCAGTCTGTCTCCCTTGACTGGAACCTCTTAAACTTGAAAGACTTCAGTTATAAGGAAATATTAAGAACTGGGCTTCTTTTCAACAAAAAAAGCAATTGACTTGTCGCAAATATAATTACTACTAATAATTAAAAGCATCAAATTGTAAAATATTATTAGAGTTATGATAAAGAAATTTTATGTATGTTAAGTTAGGGTATTTTAAGTATATAATTATAATAAAGATTTTTTTTATTAAATATCAGTCTTAAAATTTAAACATATTATCAGAATAAATGTTACTGTACCTGCTATATATGTTTCTTTTTGTGATAAATTCATTATCTTTATATTTAAATGAGAGTATTAAAATGATAATAAAAACACCTCTCATTTATTAAATTAAACATATTTTTAAAAAAGAACATAGATTAATTTTAAATCACATCCCATTTTAAAAATTTAACAAATATAAAAGCTAAAAAGTATGTTTAGTGTCAGGAGGATGAAACGGGCTAGTATGGAAAATAGTAAACAAGTCACCCGCCGAAGTGGAAAGCTTAAAGCGGGATGCATTCGGACATAGCACCGGCATTGAGGCCTAAATCACCGCTCGCATTATTTAGGGCACCAAAGCATCAGCCCACAGCCAACTGATTATATATGGATTAGAAGGTATAAAGTACTCCAAAGTAAAGACATTGTTTGTACGAACGAAGGGTCTTCGTCTTCGAAGATTGACGTTTGCTTTCTTCAGTACCCGTGTCCAACGGCTGACGTTTCGCTTTCGTCGGTATCGGAATGCTTGCTTCATTTTTTGACCAAATCTTTCTTCTTCGTCTTCTGGAAGAGTGTGGAAACGGGTGCTGAAAGAAATACCTTAAAAAGATTCTTTTTTTGTTTTTTCTGATGTTCTGCTCTGTCAAGCGACGTCGTTTATTTCGTCTTCACAATTCCGTTGAAATTGGAAAGTTCTCCTTTTTACCCTTTTCTTTTATCTGATCCTTCAAAAGTCGCTTTTCTTTTATATCTTTGAATTTCAATTTGTATTTTGGATGTTTTGGGTGACTTTTAAAATGGGATAAATGAAATTTATTAAAAAAAAAATAGCTGTCTCTTGTTGTGTGTTTTAAAGTATGAAAAGAAAATAAAAACCTGAAAGTTTAAAAGAAAAACAAAAAATAATTCAATATATAGTTTTCAAAAGAGAGAGAAAAATTATAAAAATGTGTATAAAAAAACCTATGGAGTGTCAAACTTATTTATTGTCAAGCAAAACTAAAACATTAATATACTCTTATTGGTACATTTTTTATTACATATGATTTGAACTTTTATTTAACTTTACCAATTGAATTAGTATTTCTTGACTCATGACACCATTTTAACTATTGAAATTAGTATTATTACTAGTATAAGTATCTGAAAATTTTACTACTTAGTAATGTGACCAAAATAAAGGCAATATATATTCAAAAAATTAACAAAATGGAAAAGAGAAAATATTCAAAAAATTAACAAGAGTCTTATTCAGTAAAGTAGGAGTAAGATAGAATTCAGCTGTCATCAAATCTATTATAAGGTTTATTAATCATTTATAGGATTTAAAAATCAATTTTAAGGTTTGATAAATCAATTCCAAGATTTTGTGAATTAATTTTATAGTTTGATGAATTGATTTTAAATTTTATAAATCGATTTTAAAATTTACTAAATTAATTTTAAAATTTGATGAATCGATTTTGAAATTTGTTGAATCGAAACTCCAAACAACAAGTAATTAACATTTGCACTAAAGCTCTACCTTGACAATCCTTCCAAGCAATTTTGCAACAAACTGGGTCTATGTACTTCACCCATGCTCAGTTTCAGCTCGAGGGAGTGTAACACACGTAAGCACACGAGAAGCTGCGCCTAGAAGTACAACAGAAAATGCAAATGATAACAAAACGGGAGCTGCGATAGCAGCTAGGATAGCAGAACACAACCAGTTGACTTCAACAGCAACAAGTGATAGAATCATCACATGTGCAACTGTTCAGGAGTAAATCAAGCCAAGTACCGTTAGAAGCTTTAGTTTAGAGATTGGATTGTAATTATATTACCTTTATTGCATATTGTACCATTAGGAGAGTTCCCTTATACTGAACTCTTCATCAAATGTACTGCCGATAGATACAAAAGAGAAGAAGAACTCACTCTTCACTCAATTCTCAGTAAGTTATTCTACTTTCATATCTCTTGTTTCTTCTTCCTCTCCTCTCTTTCTCATGTTTTCATCAATTAATTGATGACATGAATAGAGGTGGTTGTCAAGGTCTTCTTTCATGGATGGATTACAAATATGTCATTACAAGTCAATTGATTCCTTTTTTTTTTTTACTTCATTTCTTTTCTAATCTAATCTATTTTTTTCCTTTTCTTTTTGGGTTTAACTCATGAAAAATAGGAGGATTTCCAGGGGAAAGAAGAAGGTATGAGTATTTTTGTTTAAATATAATCTCATATGTGGATTTTTTTTTATTTTTAAATAAAAAATATATTACTAAATCTCTCAAATATTTGATGATTGTAAGGAGTTTGAATTTTTTTGTGCTTGGTTTTTCTCTCATTAATTAATTATAATTAAATTTAATTAATTTTTATATTTTATTTACTTAAAATTATCACATCATTACATCTCAACGTTTGACTCATTAGTTGATATATGATCTCTAAATAAATTTCAAATTTGCTTTCACTAAATCTAAAAAGAAAAATTATCTCATCGTCTATTTGTGCATATAAGCACTACCTTGTTATGAAAAATTGCCATTAACACAATTGAGTTAATTGAGTCATTAATAATGTCAATATTTTCCATTTAATTTTTTTAAAAAAAAATTATTTAACTCAAATTAAAAAAATAGGAACTTAAACGAATATAGTTTGATGGATTTTTTCAACAGTATGCCTTACATGATTAACGTGGCATTTTTCTATTGGTACCAAAAATACTGGTGGACCCAACTACCAGTCAAACCGTTTATAACTACCAGTCTCCCGCTTGGAGGGAAATCCCCTGAATCACTACCCAAGCTGAGTTTTTCGCTTTCCGAGTCATGAGATCTCCTCCAAAACCACTCAAAGAAAACCTTCCATGGAGCCAAACCACAGCCCAACTTGCCCCTGACTCAGTCCCATCTCGCCCACCACCAAAACTCGCCACGCCACCATGCTCAAAGGCAAAAAGCTCAAGCTACCCGATCGGCTCGGCAGCTTAGTCGTCGGATTTGACGACAAGGATGAAGATAGCGGAGGTTCCGATTCGGTTTTGGAGTCTGGAGAAGAGCTCGAGATCATTCAACCAAACGGATTCGGGTCGGGTCGTGAAAGTGAGACTGATGATGATGGTGAAATTGAAGAGGACGCAATGGTGAAGAGGAAGGCGAAAGTGGATGGAGAATTGGAGCAAAAAGGGAGGCAGAGACACGAAAAAGACGGGTGGGGTCATGTTTTGGTAATGAAAATTATTGAAACGGATGAGAAAAGGTCTGATATTGAGTATGAGGTGAGAGATTTAATATGTTATAAATAATTTGCTTCGTTTAATTTCAGTTTTTGTTCTTAATTTTTTAATCCAATATTTTCTTATAATTCAGATATCTCAGAAGGAGGTAAATTTGGAAAAATTGCAAAGAATCGCTAGCACAGGGCTTCCTGATGGAGGAGGTCTGCGTGCAACAGTTTGGAAGGTAATTTTTTCAGTCATTGCCTAATTATTTTCTCCATATGAAAGCAAAATTATTCTGTTTTTGATATTTTAAATTAACAGAGACTTCACATTAGTATTCAGAGAGCTTGCATTGCATCTATTTCATTGATCTATTTGATATTTGAACGGTAGGGAAATAGCAGTGCAATGCATATGGATAAGTAATCAAGTAGGGTATTTTAATTAACATCGAAGAGAACACAACCAATTTTTGCCTGAATCATGCCCTTTTCGCACTGTGTCATTAATTTAACCATGCAACTGTTGTTGCATTGGCTAGCAAAACACTCTGCAGAGTTTCAAAACAGAAGGATTATATTCATAAGAATCATAACTAGAACCTAACTTGTAGGCTCTATAATGTATGGTTTATACTGTTGCCTGAATGTTTCACAGGCATAATGACAGAGTTTGAATTGTTCTTGCTTTGTATTCATCACAAGTGTTTATTGTCTTTCAATGTTAAATTCTCGCAGCTGCTCCTGGGTTTCTTACCTCCATCTCGGGACTTATGGGAAAAAGAGCTAACTGAAAATCGGCAAAAATATTCTAAGCTGAAAGAGGAGCTTCTGTTAACTCCTGTAAGATACTGATTGCCGTGCAGTATATGCCTAGTCAAGACATCTTTTTATATACTTTGCGGAGAATTCCTTACATGTTTATAACAGTACCTGTCGTTAGTACCTTAGAAGTTCCCCTCGCACTAATCGTGATATTGAATCTAGTCAGAGCTTGCAAGGATTAAAGAAGAAGCTTTGCACTCTACTGAGCATAATGCTGATGTTGATACTGATGGACCACTTACACGACAAAAAATTTCTCATGAAGATCACCCTTTGAGCCTTGGTAAGGCTAGTGTCTGGCATCAATACTTCGAGGTAAATCTCTTCTCATAAGGCATCACTTGATTTTTATATGCTATGCTTTAGCTGATGTTTATTATAATGGATACATTGGTTTCCAGCATACAGAGATTGCAGAACAGATTGACCGTGATTTGCAACGCACACATCCTGAAATGAAATTCTTCTCCGGAGAGTCATCATTCAGCAGGAAACACAGGGTACACGACTTCTCACCTTTTCCTCCCTCCCTACACGGTGTTTTCTTCTTGTCATGACACTTTGTTCAATCTATAAGCACACCAAATTTCGAGAATATAGGGTATTGCTCTTCTAACAAGTAGATTATCTAGCATCTATTGTAGCAGTCCTTGGGGTTTAAGTTCTCACTCAGTGCTGTGACGCGTTTCCATGGCAGGAAGCAATGAGGAATATTCTTCTCCTATTTTCAAAACTCAATCCTGCTATTCGTTATGTCCAAGGCATGAATGAGGTCTTGGCACCATTATACTATGTATTTAGCACTGATATAGATGAGCAGAATGCAGTAAGAATCATACTTTATTCTTTTTTGCTTTGACTTAAGAACATTTATGGATCCTTTTGTCTTATGATCCTTGGTCATTGATGGTACTATAATCGTATGATTCTCTGTAGACCAACATCTGAATTGTAAAATATTTGTTTGCTAAGTTGGATCAAACCTATGACAACAAATCTCTTACCTGAGTTTACTTGTGACTACTTTTTGAAAGCAGGCATAAGTTCTATAAAAGTTAGTTTCTCTTGAAGTATCTAAAGCTGCTCAATCAACAGATTTCTTACCTGGCATGGTTTTAATTGACTGAAGAAAGGTGTTATGTTAGAATTTCTGGACATTAGAAAGGGATCTCTATTTTTGCATGAGTTTAAAAACATATTCTCTCAGTTACAACGCCTCACCCATATCTTCACTCCCACTTCATCCATGAACATTTCACTTTTCTGTTACTCTTTTATTTTGTTTACTTGAACTTTACTTTTATTTTTCCTTAAGGAACATAAACGAGGGTTGGGGATTGTTTAATAGTCAAATTTTCTTTTATTAGGCCAAAGTATTTTTTCTGTCAGGGGTTGAACATCATGAGAAATTAGTAGTGCAAAAGAAAATGCAGTGTCTGACAATTCAAGCTATTGATAACTAGTTTTATGCGTTAATTCAATTCCATTGTGCAGTCTAACGCAGAAGCAGATAGTTTTTCTTGTTTTGTCCGCCTCATGAGTGACTCAGTGGATCACTTCTGTCAGCAATTGGATAATAGTTCTGTGGGCATACTGTCTACTCTTTCCCGCTTGGCAGAGTTATTGAAGGCGAATGATGAGGAACTATGGCGGCATCTTGAATTCACATCTAAGGTAAGTTTAATGGAATTTTGAGATGTGTTTTATTGGGCGTTCAAATGTTCAACACATGCCATATATATCAATTTTTGATTAGATGCGTAACATGTTTCTTTATTTCTTAATCCCCTGTCATTTTAATTTCTGCTTGGCTATCCCTCACCAGTTTCTATCATTAACCATGAATCTTGTTCTACTCTGCGGACTCTCTGTACGACGTCCATGTATCTCAATGAGCAGGTTAAGCCTCAGTACTATGCATTCAGGTGGATCACTTTGCTACTTACTCAAGAATTCAATCTCCAATCTATCTTAAGAATCTGGGATTCTCTTCTGAGTAACCCTTTTGGTGTGCAGGTCTCTCTCTGTCCAGCTGACTTTGCTAATAGTCCTTCTACTGAGTTTTCTAGGGGTTGATTCCTCTTTCTACATCATCTTCGTAAATTTAAACAAGTACTTATCAGCGAACTGTCCCTTTTGTAGGATATGCTTCTACGTGTATGCTGTGCCATGCTGTTGTGTGTGAAAAGCAGGCTTTTGAGCGGTGATTTCGCAGCTAACTTAAAGCTATTACAACACTACCCTGATATTAACATAGAACACCTTCTACTAGTAGCCCGAGATCTTAGTCCGGACACCTCTTCCTATCGTTTGTCTTTGTAAATTCACATTGCATGCACTTTTGCAGACAAAGGTATCTCTTTACATGATTTGCAATCCTGAACGATGTTTCAGCTGCTGCACAAGTTGTTATCCAGAACATTTTCATCATATTTTTGAAGGATGGAAATTATTTGGCAGCAATTAGACTGAAATTACCGCCAATTCTCTTCTTCTTCTCTCTCTGCCCTTTTAATTTTTATTTTGTGGTAAATAAATAAAAATGCCATTGATCAAGAAGTAAAAGATAGAGCTCTGAACAGCTTTTTTGATGATCTCACCTGGTCCTGCAGTTTCCTACGAGCACTGTCATAGACTCCATTAAAGACAGATTTGCCAATCCTACTTTTCAATTCCTAAAACTATAATGCTTGTTACATTCTTGTTAGCTTTGTACTATTTACTGGGTTCACCAGCTGAATAACTAATGAGGTTAGTTAAATAAATCAAGTTTCACTAATCACTGCAATGAAAATGTAGCTCTTCCTCATGTGGGCTGAAAAATAAAATATCTCAAAATAAGGGAATCGGAAAAATTTTATTCAAAATATTGTTCAGTTTTACAATAAAATATAAAGAGACTATTTATAGATATAATTTGTTTTAAACTTACTTATAATGTTAGTAAATTGAATAAAAAAGTATTTTTATTTTAAAATTTTTTAAAGTACAAATAAAATAAATAACATAAAAATAAATATTTCAAAACTAGATTTACTTGTTATGCAAGGAAAACAAAACAATTACAGTGCACATATAATTTTCTTAAGTGTGTAGTCCAGATCCCAAGTTAATTCTTCTTTGACTTGTCTGAAAACTTGGAAAAAGTTTCCATATCATCAAAAAAGAAAATAAGAAGCTCATCGGAAAAATACCAAATGGCTGCTCTTGTTAGCTGTTAATTGCATCGAATATGAAATTTGAAATCTTCATCCGAAGCAGCATGTTTAGGCCGTGGAACCTAGACTCTATAACCAGAATTCAACTCAAAAGATGGGCTTAGAAAGATGCAGCCTACGGGGATGGTCGATGTTGCAGCCTTGCAAGTGGTTATGATTAAAATTAGCAAGGCCCATTGCAAGTAGTCAGACTCGTCGGAAAAGAAAATTCTTGCTGCCACATCATCCCTTCAAGTCATCTGCTGGCTGCTGTTAAAAACTCAATTAAGAAAAGAACAGCAAGGAAAAAACCGCAAAGACTTTTCAGTTAAGAGTATCATCTGCATTGTCGACTTAGTGCGTTAGTGGTGCAGAGATTGACTGGCCATTAGGCATTGAAACGCGGTTGCTTCTACGTGTGACGCAATTTTGCATTCAACCATGAGTTGTTTATGCTAACCCTGTTTTGTTAACACTAATTAATGGATTCGGTTAAGGAAATGACGCAAGTTGTAACATGTCTAGACAAGGACGAGGAGTTAAAATAATTTCGAGTGCTCTCGTTTCAGCCATTTCTTCCTTCCTTTCTTAGCGGCCGCAAATAAGCAGAATGTAGGAAGAAAACAGAGACATTTAACCTTGGATGCACATGTCCATTGCAAGTTGAATTGAATAAACACAGAAGGAAAAGAAAATTGGGAGAAAAACAATTCACCTTAGCAGTTGTAGAAATACATGAAAAGAATGGAGAAGGATCCAAATTGTTGAGGATGAGAGCTTGCATGCAAGATGGACCTACCACACTTGCAGGTGCTGGTAGCTTGTGAAGATGGTTCTGCTGAAATGTCAGTGCCATGCAATGCAGCCAATGTATTCATGGGTCAGATTTTCACCCTCTGCACCTTGTTAGTGTATGTAGCAGAAGGGATTTGATGTGTTTGGCAGTGTATTAAGTTCATTCGAATGAATGAAGAGGAAGAAGCTCTCTTAGTTCACTTTTCTCCGTTTTTTCAGATTAAGCTTCAGTTCTTTAATGCTCTTACTCTCCCTTCTGAAATTGCATGTTGTCATGTTTTGTTTGCTTAATTACAACACAAATAAAGAAAACTAAAATAATGCGTGTTGACCTATCATCTCATAGCCAAAACAGCCAGCAATGTTTCGCATGCAAACGAGCAAGTTGTCAGGGAATAAGAAGTATATGAACCAGTCTACTCTTGCTCTCTTGGTAAGCCAGAGAGGTATCCATCGCTCTGTTCCTTGTAACTTCCCAGAACTAAGACCAATATATCTTTTTCATCTCTCTTGGTCTGGTCTTTCAAAATTCAGCACGGGACAGAATACTGTTTGTCCCAATCACGGCCTTCCCCCACAAAAGAAAAATCACAGCCTAGTTGTTAACAAGGGCATATTTTATTTCCATTCTATACAACCAAGCCACCACTACCCTTGTTGTCGTGCTAATTTCAGCAGATATATAATAAAATCAATTTTGCTGGCATAACTAGATAGAATCCATACCATATAAGTTTTACCTGTTCAACTCATTCTACGTGCTTGCATTGCTCTATGCAAATTTTTAAGCAATTTCTACGAAACACAACTGTCTCTGACCCGTGATTTCTTCATCCAGTCCGGAATCTTGTTCTAGGTCTTTTATTACTTTACCCTCTTTTTCTGACTTGGTTTGTACGTTCACGGTTTCTTAAAGCCTTACGCTTACAGTTCATTTATCAGCGGTGTTTGTGTTCGTCTATGCCTTCTCTTCTCAAGGACAGATTGCTATATAGGTCCTTAACGTTTTTACGAGAGATAGGGAAAAGCAATGGCACCTTTTCTGCTCCATGGGACACTTAATGTGACGATTTACGAAGTTGATGGGCTTTTTGGAGCAGGCTGCTGCAATGTTTTCTGCAAGGTATACTCCTTTTGAATGGTTGATTAATATTATCAGTTGGTGAATCTGTTGTACAAACTACAGAAAATGAATGGTTGCTAGCTTGTTTAGTATAGCACTTTAGTATGTTTTTCTTAGTAATTTCCTGTTCTGATATATATATATATATATTTATTTATTTAGTGTAAACATTTTGAGAAGTGCAAAATGTCGTTTCTTCTGTTCTTTTAGGGTACATAAATAGACTTCTTGAGTTTTCTCTTACACCATATGATTAAGATGACCCTTTTCCATCCTTTAAATCCACTCCTCCACAAAGTTTGAACTTGAGGCTTTCATAACTAAAGTCTCAAGTTCAAACCGTTAGAGTTGTCCCCCAGGACCAAAACATCAGCTTATCAGTACACAGGCAAAGCCTATCACTAATATGGCATCCTGCTCGAGAAGATTGTACAAGCTAAGAATTGTATAACATTCATGTTTACATGTAAAGACCAGAAGTTATTGTCTAAGAAGGCGCCTGATATCTACTAGATTAGTGAGCTGCTATCATTCTTCAGTTATACCAACTACCAAGTACTTAGAAATAAATTTCTTCTTCACAAGGCATTTAGAGGCTTAAAAGGAGGGAGAGTAATTGCTGTTGGCAGAAATTCTCTCATCCTAGCCCAAGAAGCAAAAACAAGTCGAGAGAAAATATCTAGCTATTTATCATATCTTACATACAAAGCTTAATTATGTCTGAACACAAAAAAAAAAAAAAATGCTATGGGCAGATCAGTGCAGTATGCTTCATTTACTCTACAAAAGCCTTCTGTCATAACTTGTGGAAGAGTACAGGAGCAAACACTATCTCGCAAGAGCACTCAAGTCTTCTTCCTCCCAAGGGACATTTCTCTACAACTCTCCCCAGTTGTCTAGCCAGCAACTAGACCTAGAAAAAGGTTTATTAGCCAAGAATCAAGACAATATTTTATTCATCAATCTTTAAAACCGAAAAGAATAATGAATTGTCTAAATTTGGTCTTCCCTCTTCCTGATATTACTGATACGATTTCAGAATTTCAGTCGCTTCCAGAGCAGCAAAAACTGGTTTTCCCAAGTTTTTGGACATGTAGGAATCTCTATATTATATATGGTCTGATAAAAGGCAGTTGTCGCTCTGTTTCTTCAACACGTCCCTAGATTTTTGGTCATCTTTCTACTCTTTAATATTTCATTTTTCTTCCTACGGACTTGTGAGGAAAGTAAATGTAAAAATTTGGACAAATTCTGCACCGACTTGAACCTAGGACTATATTTTATATTTTTTCAGCGTTTAGCTTGAAGTGCAAGTTTTGATGCGAAGTCAACTAATCATTTAACAGTTCTCTATTTATCTGACTTTTAAGATTTAATGTTAAAGAATGTTGTTCTTCCTTGCAGCTAATGCAAAACATTGAAGAAAGTGTAGGAGTTGGACAAGCATTTTCCAAACTGTACGTGACCATTGATTTAGAAGAAACAAGAGTTGGTCGGTCTAGGCTATTACAAAACGAAGGCTCTACTCTACAATGGCATGAATCGTTTCACATATATTGTGCCCATAAGGCTTCCAATGTTGTTTTTTCTATCAAAGAAAATGATCCTATAGGAGCATCCCTGATTGGAAGAGCTTACCTGCCTGTTGAAGAACTTCTAAATGGAGAAGAAGTAGATAGATGGCTTAAGGTTGTGGATAAAGGGTACAAACCTCTTTATAGAGAATCCAGGATCCATGTCAAATTACAGTTTTTTGACACAACTCGGCACCCTAATTGGTCTCAGGGAATTAAAAGTCTTAAATTTCCAGGAGTTCCATATACATTCTTCAGTCAAAGAGAAGGTTGCAGGGTTACCCTTTACCAAGATGCTCATGTTCCTGACAAATTCATTTCTGGAATCATCCCTCTTGCTGGGGGCAAGTATTATGAACCACACCGATGCTGGGAGGACATCTTTACTGCAATTTCTAATGCAAAACATTTTATTTACATAGCCGGGTGGTCTGTGTATGCTAGAATAACCATGATAAGAGACTTGAAGAGGCCAAAACCAGACGGAGATTTGACACTTGGTGAGCTTCTTAGAAAGAAAGCCAATGAAGGTGTCAGTGTTTTGATGCTTGTTTGGGATGACCGAACTTCTGTTAAGTTACTTAAGGAAGATGGAGTGATGGCTACTCACGATGAGGATACCAGACATTATTTCCATAACACTAAAGTCCATTGTGTTTTATGTCCACGCAATCCCGATGATTTGCATAGCATTGTTCAAGACATGGAGGTTTCTGCCATGTTCACTCATCACCAGAAGATTGTGGTCGTGGACAGTGAATTGCCCAATGAAGAATCAAAAAGGAGGGTTGTGAGCTTCATTGGTGGCATTGACCTTTGTGATGGGAGATATGACACTCCCTCTCATCCCATTTTCCGAACATTAGGCACCGTCCATCAGCATGATTTTCATCAACCTTGCTTCCATGATGCCTCAATTGCTAAAGGAGGGCCAAGGGAGCCTTGGCATGATATGCATTGCCGATTGGAAGGGCCTGTTGCCTGGGATGTATTGTTCAATTTTGAGCAGAGATGGAGGAAGCAAGGAGAAAAGGACTTGCTAGTTCATTTACGAGAATATGATGACATATTCATACCTCCATCTCCAGTGACATTCCCTGAAGATCACGAAACATGGAATGTTCAACTGTTCCGGTCCATTGATGGTGGGGCTGCCTTCGGCTTTCCTCACAACCCTGAGGATGCAGCTAGATTGGGTCTTGTCAGTGGGAAGGATCATGTTATTGATCGAAGCATTCAGGATGCATATATCAATGCCATTCGTCGAGCAAAGAATTTTATTTACATTGAAAATCAATATTTTCTTGGAAGCTCTTTCAGCTGGAATTCAAAAGATCCTAAGGTTCAGGAGATTGGTGCTTTGCATCTTATTCCGAAGGAACTGTCTCTAAAGATCGTTAGTAAGATTGAAGCTGGTGAGAGGTTTACTGTCTACATTGTCATTCCAATGTGGCCAGAGGGTGTCCCACATAGCAAATCTGTTCAGGTAATATTGAATTGGCAGAAGAGAACCATGGAGATGATGTACACAGATGTGGTTCAGGCCCTGCAAGCCAAGGGACTCGAGGCAAACCCCAAGGACTATTTGACATTTTTTTGCCTTGGCAACCGAGAGAGAATAACTCCTGGGGAGTATCAACCTTCGGAAAGACCTGAACAGGACACTGATTACAGTAGATCTCAGCAATCTAGGCGTTTCATGATCTATGTCCATGCCAAGATGATGATTGGTAAGTTAATTCGACACATTTTTGCTTGGATAGCTTAAGTATCTTCAATTTTTTATACCCCTTGCCAACTGTATCTTTAATTTTCTCCATTAGCAAGAGATGCACATGCTAAACTTGGGACCGTATGCCTTTTGCAGTTGATGATGAATACATTATAATTGGATCTGCCAACATCAATCAAAGATCAATGGATGGTGCCAGGGATACTGAAATTGCCATGGGGGCCTACCAACCGTATCACCTAGCGACCACAGAGCCAGCCAGGGGCCAGATTCATGGGTTGCGTATGGCATTGTGGTATGAGCACTTAGGCAAGCTTGATAACTCCTTTCTCCAACCAGAGAGCTTGGAATGCGTCCGGAAGGTGAACCAGATTGCTGACGACTACTGGGATCTCTACTCATGTGACACGTTAGATCATGAGTTGCCAGGCCATTTGTTAAGTTATCCGATTCGAGTTACCCATAATGGAGAGGTGACAGAGCTTCCAGGGTTGGAACACTTCCCAGACACCAAGGCTGGAGTTCTTGGATCCAAAAATGAGATGCTTCCTTCCATTCTAACTACTTAAACTCAGTTGTCTAATAATCAAAATGATGTATATTCTTTCATTCTGTCATTTAAGCACAGTGATATTCTGTTTGGTGGAAGCAAATATAGTAAATATTAGTACTTTACATTTCCTCTAGCTGAATGCCAAAGCAACTGAATAGAAAGGAATAATACAGCTCTGACACTAAGCCATTTGGCCAACAGAAAATGATGGGCAGATAATGAATGATCCGACCATCAAAATTGTTTTCCAAAGCAAAATTCCCAGAGAACCCTTTGCTGGTCAACCATATATGACTCAGAAAAGAACAGAAAATGAAAGTGATCTATTAGAGGATGAGTTAAAGAAATTCACAAAATTTGGAAGGGCCAGGTCCTCTTCCAACCATGAACTTACCTATGCCCCTTATTGCCTTATCCAAAATTCCCTATTCGTGCATTACAAAATTGGTGCACTCATGAAACCAAGGGCTACAATTTCTGTTTCTGTTTTTGGGAACAGACCAACAAGCTCCCAATATGCTGGTAGATTTTCAAGGCTGGTTCAATGTTGACAAACAAGTACGGTAAACATCCCAATCGCAACTTCTTCCATGTATAGCGCAGTTGAAGATATTTTAATAATATGCTTTCGGATATTCTTCAAGTATACCAAATTAATGCTAATATTTAATTTCCGATAGCTAAAAGATAATCTGCCGAGCCATTATTACTCCTAACCTGTTGACATCCAAGTTGTAATAGCATTTATTCCAAGACCAAATTATGTTTTCTAAGGAAACCCATTTTCTACATCCACAGAACCTCATTATCTTAATATAATATTGTTGCTTGCAGGCTACTTCTAATGCCAAATTTTCGTTGTGTAGGCTTCTTAACTTTTGATTTCATTGGTGGATATCTATAGCCTTTGCAGAAAATTATAGCTAGTGGATTCCATCAGTAAGACAGTAACCCTTGTCCAACAAAACTTTGTTTTCTTTTTGAAAATTTCGACTTTGGTCTATAGAGGCTTAGCCTTTTTTGTCCATACAGTCTAAAAAATTAATTACTTTGTGGAAAAACATTCCTCTTTCTTCAGCCTGTTTCCTACTTTTCTTGCCTAGAGATCAAACCACCCACAGTTTTCCAACATAGCATTCATTGCAGTCTCAAAGAATAGAAATGTGCATGCACACTTAATTCGTGGGCTACAAATTAAGTTTCAGAACCAGGAAAGAAGTTCATATCACGACTATTTCTTGACTTTGTGTTTGGATTTAGAAGGTGTATGGGAAAATTGTTAAAAATGACATGATTCACGTTGTCATGAGAAGTTTGATATCACCACATAAACCGTTTTTTGCATGTAGATTTCACGAGTTAATGATTTGATTTGATGCAAATGTGCCTTTACGTATATGAAACTTGTGACAAAAGTAAGGGCTGTAACTAGTAGAAGTTTGAGAGGCTGGATGACTTTAACGGCTAAATTCATGTGTGTCTGAGATCATCACAGGATGCAGGCAGCCCTACTTAGTTTTAAAGCCACAGAGAAACTGAGAAAAAACCTTCCCTTATCCGATTTCAATCCCATCCTAGATAGTTTCTGACAAGAAAAGAATCTTCTCCAAACGATGCTCGAAAGCGCATCAGACCCACTTCTCGTAACGTCGTTCATCATTTTCCGGTTTCCTCCAAACTATACGCAACATCGCATGATGTTGATTTTATGTCTCCTCAATTAGGTAGTACTTATCTATAGAATTCACTCATTGTATGGATTTAAAATCAGGAGTTGATATCTAAAACAGAAACGATCTCAAGAGTCAAAACGTTTCTTTGTACCATTGATTCGGTCTGATTAAAAAATGCAGCAACAGCCATATTTATCTGCATTCTTGGACCATGACTCTTTGGTACAAAACAAAGCAATCTGGTGGCTTACTGCTAAAGGACATTAAACACAACCATGTGCCCAACAGCCCAAGAGCAGTTTATTTATTTCGCCTATCCGGTGATCAAATTCAAGCTCTTAGCCCATTGGTGGCACAGTCATTTTCCTATCTTGAACCAGATCTAAGCATCCGTTTGAATGGGCATGGGAGAGTCTGCCACATCCTGGATGGTACACAACACCGTATATTCAAAGGTCAATAAACCAAAATTATTGAGCCAAAAATGTACTCTAGGTACGCTCTTTTCCGAAGCGTGAACGCCACTCTCCATATCTTCGTATAGGATATAAAGTATTTTCATTTTCCTTTTGGATGCCTTAGCAAAACAAATTTGCGGAGTTCGTAAGAGTTCTGCAGACAAAAGCTAGCACATCTCTTTCTGTCTTCTGCATACTCCTTTGTCTGTTTATTACAAGTCTCTATCGTCTTTCTTGTCTTTGGTCATTTCCTCAATTAGCGTGACCTTCTCGTGAGATGCTATCGAAAACAGAAATAGATTTTGCTGGTGAACTCTCAATGCCCTGCCCCATACACAGAAAATATCATCCCTGTCTCAGGGTTTTGATGGAAATCTAGAAAACAGATGAAAGTGGAGTAAGGAAGAAAAAAAAATCCTCCTGGAAATGATTTCTGTACAGAAAAAGAAGGATCCCAACAATGTAAGAAAAGGTTAAGATAAAACCTTGAAGCATGAAGGCACCCTTATCCTCAACATCTTATCACTTTCTAAATTCTGCAAAAAAAAAAATCAGACAACTAAGGAAATTAACAATTGCAACCAATGACATAAGGCGGCAGTTTTTCCAAAGAATCCGGAAATTACAAAAAAACAAAAGAGAAGGAAAAAAAGAAAAAACCTCCACCTAAAAATGAAGCGTCCTGATCGTCACGCGCTGCCAAAATTCTGAACAAAAATTGGAGCGGGCAATAAGATACTGCCCATCTAGTCCCTTCCTAAGAAGCAATTGACGTCACCCAGAAGGTTTCTGTCCTCCGCCTTGCCGTGTAGTGCACAAGCATAGCCTATTTGCCTGACCATACAGTCCCCTCTAAATGCCATAACACATGCCTTTCAGCCTTTTCTTACATAGTTTTTACAGAAAAATTCTCTAACATTCAAATAACAGCACATATTATAATACTAATATTTTATAAAAATATTGCCCATTTGATTCCAATATTTTATTCAGCATTCAGACTTGTTTATGCGCCACCATCACACTATTTATCCTCTGTAAAGGCCAAAACTAACCCCCTCCTTCCTCCCCTGCCCCTGGCAAAAACAGAACCAAAGCATCACTTTTTTTTTCACCCATTTCAGCTACAATTTTGGGTTTGAGATTTTGGTCTTGTTCTGACAAAAACATGGCTTCAATATTGAGCTCGCAAGGAGTGGTATTAGCCACAGCTATGGCAGTCTCTGGCACTGTAATTCTCCTTGCTTTTCGTCTGCAGAAATCTTTACCTCTTGATCAAATCTCCCAGCCTTCTCAACAAGTCCTCCGCTCTTGCATAACTTCTGGTAAAGATACATAAACAACTAGCCGTCTAGCTCTACTTGCATGCATATATATTAACTGCTAATTTGCTTTCTTTTTCTTGGGTTTATTTTTGTTTAAAGAAGGGAAGAAGAGGGAGAAGAAAAAGAAGAAGAAAGTGCACTTTGCGGAAGATGTGATGGATCCGAGAGGAGATGGGGAAGAGTTCAGGAGACAGCTGATGAAGAATCCTGTTAGAATAGGTAGCAACAATAATTCTCCGGCCGCTTTAAACTCATCACCAAAGTTCAAGAAAATTGGTGGTGGTAAAGATAGAGGAATGCCCGCTAACAGAGTTGCTCTTTACAATGGAATTCTAAGGGATCGTGTTGTTCAACGACTGGCTTATTCTTACTGAGAAAAAGGATAACAGATTTTCATTTTTATTTTTATTTTTGTACAATCAAATTTGTGCTTTTTTTTCGCTACAGTCTGTGTAGTTTGTAATTATGTAAATACTATGTAATTATGTAATTTTTTCTTAATATTTTGGTTTTATTATTTCTACATGAGAATCTTCTTGTTTGATTTTTATCTCAATAAAAATAAACAGTGTTACGTTTGATCTTATATAAGTAACTTTTGCATGACAAGGGATGTGGGTTGTTAATTTGACAAAAGTACCTTTTGAAAGTAAGATATATATATATATATATATATATATATACATTTTTTAAAAGTGAATTTGCAAATCAAACGATTATTTATTTCTCAATTGTGAACGTAACATTACATATATGTGACGACATTTTAAATTGCACCGTTACACATTAATGAATAAATTAGAGTAAGATGAAGGGTTGCAGTTTGGTTAAGTTTAAAGTGTAAACACAATCCAAACAAAAAAAGGAAATTAGATTCTACTTCTTTTTTTTGAAACCAAGCCTCATTTGATTTTGTTTGGGTTCTTATTCAGTTTGAGCATTTTAACAAACCAAAAAAATTTCTACAATTTAATGCTGCTTCAATCCTTAAATATTATTTTCCTTTTAATTTTTACTAAAATTAAATCAAAAATTTTGATTTTAATGTATTTTATATTAATATTCTCAATTAGAGATTTGAAATATAAAAAAAAAATCATATACCTCTTATGTCCCTTCCCCTGCTCAAAGGACAAAGCCGAAAGGAAAGATTAGGCTTCGTAGTGTGTAAGCGTGAAGGCTAACACAGACAACTTTTCCCCCTTACCAAGATCGTGGCAATGGCAAACAATTTAAGCTTTTGTTTTCCCGAAATGACAACGTGGCCTTACCTTCGATTTAATGTAATAGTTCTTTTCCGAGGTGGAAGCCCGTTTCACATGGACATGTAAACATCTAAAACTGATATGCATGCGTGAGTGCGAACGCTACCATGTGCTAGGATGCTTCCTTTTTCACATCACAGCCAACAACCATACATATATATAATCTCCTCAAATTTATTATACTCACAACTATATGTCAAATGACCAATTCATTGACCTGACTTCAACTTTTTTTTTCCTTTCTCTTCTGCGAGTGATGTGCGTCGTATTCATGCCGTCATTCAATTGAATGACTGACTGCTATTATTGGTGTTTTTGATAAAGATTAATGGAATATATAAGAGTTTAATTCTCAATTTGTCCAAGTAATTAAATGCAAAAAAAAAAAAAAACCCATAGAAGCCAAGGTTAGGCCGAAGTGATACACCATCTAACCAAACCAAGTCTAACATACAAATTTTTATCACCTAGTTAATAGAAAGCAAATGTTGGATGCCGTTTGGGGCTCACAACAGTCCTGAAGCCCTAAAATTAGATAATTGAGGTAAGAGGTTACTCACATCACCTTTTTATTACTTCAAATTTTGAAATTTTAATAAATTTATTAAATATTTATTAATTTTCCGCGAGAAACACAATGACTATCTTCTATTTGATATATTTTGAATTGGTTACACGGCTTATTCTATATTCAATTCATCAAAATTATGAGAATTTTTTTATATATTTATGTTGACAATTTTTTTTTAATTTGATGGCCCACTTGTCTCACTGTGTTTTTTTTTTTTTTCTTTGGACAGTTTTGGGGTACCAATGAAGAAAATGCTTTTGGAGACACTTGGCAGGTAGGTGTGGGAGACAAGTAAAGGAAGGAAAGCCTCAAAAGAGTAGCATGGGGCATGGGCAACTGAATATGGAGTTGGAGTTGCATTGTAATTGGAACCGAATCTTTATACTCATCACGCACCTTGTCTTTTTATATAATTTTATATTTTTTTTGTCTTCAGATTTTGGAAGTGCTAGTGTGTTTCTTGTGAGGGCTGTTTGTGCTTCTCACATTTCTTCCCCCTTTTTTAATAATTTAATTGCATCCCATTTAATTGAAAAATATACTTGTCATTGAATCTTCCCAATGTCGTAATTATGCACCCAAATTGCACTAAGGCCGGAGGTCATGTTCTAAATATTCCAGAAGGTTTTTCAGTGTTTGACCAATCAGCCTAATCAATGGAAAAGAGGGCGGGTTATAAAGGAGATAACGGTATTATCGCTGCAGCCCACTGCACCCAACATGTTTGAGCTTGGATTGGACAAGCCATGTGTACAATTTCAAGCATGGACCAATCACATTTCTCCTGGCTGTAGCCTTCCCTGTAGGAAAAGATTTGTATATAGACAGAGAACATAGTCCCCCCGCCACCCTTTTTTTTTTTGAAAAAAAAATGGTGGCCGGCATTTTTCTTTATTTTTTAGAGCCATTCATGAATTGCGTTGACATTGCAAACATAAATTTATGGTCACATAGAATGGCAATTTGATGCTTGAGCACGATCAAGCTAAACTGTGACTTTTGTCTTATTTATCAAAAATTTTATCGGAAATAAGTAGTAATATGAGAGTTAACATGTAAAATAACCAAACGAGAAATGTCATTGGCATGGCCAATGGCAAATAGTCACATGTGTCAATGATTGGCTCTCCCATCCATAGAGTGGTGACGAATTTCAATGATAAATGAAGTAAATTAATACTCCCTATTAATTTGTCTTAGATCTTGACCCTTTATCAAATGAATATATCTCCTGAGGGCCCTAGGATTGTGAGCAATCAGCAGTAAAAGCTACTCCAACGCTTGGAAGAAACATTAGGCAATCGCCCAAGCAGGCAAGAAGGTGAAATATGCTGCCTGCTAGCTCCTATAGGATTCTCCAACTGAAATCTTTGGTAGTCACCAATAAATCTTGAAAAAAGATATGCAAAGATACCCTTTAAGTCACCTTGTTGGAGATTGATGTGCAATCGATGGTTACTGTAGGGCAGCGTCATGCGTCCTAGCCTCTGCGGCTCTGCAGGCCACTGTTTGAAAGTTCACGAGAAAGCGCTTCATGCCTGCAAGTTGATGAATGATTGCGCAGGATTTAATCGGAAGAAAAGTCGATGAATGATTAACAAAAATTCAAAAGAAAAGTAGCTCAACCATTGGCTGTCAAATTACTAAAAACAAATTGTATATATTTTTTTTCTATTACTGTTTTGCATGTCTTTCGGTCAATATATCAAATCATTTTGTGGATAAGGTGGTGATGGAAAATTTTAGTTGCTTTTGATCATCATCACTTAACGATCAATAAAATGGATAATCAGACAATACCCATTATTATCTACAAGAGAGATCTGACAAAGGTATATAAATTGGGGAAAGGCAGAACTACTCAATGCCATAGTTTGAGTTTTTCATGTTTGATAAAAGGTTGTTTTCATGTTTATGCAAACAAGGCAATGCCGATGTTATCATACGAGGACAAAAGAAGAAGAAAATTGACATTTCCCTAACTTCATTTCTCAAAAAAAATGTACTATTATTTAGGCATTTTTTGAGCCCCTTCATGTCGAGTTACTACTCACTACATATATATATATATATATATATGAAAAAAAAACTGATGTTTTTCCATATACATAACTGTGTATTTATACACAAATATATCAATTTCGCTTGTAAATTCAGGGGTTAAGACTCAAGACTATAATTGATTATTTACGGTCTCATTTACATGTTTTTGTGTTAGTATCAAGTAGAATAATCGTTATTTAATTCAAATTATAAGAGTAGAGAACGAGTGACATATAATTATCATGTAGCGGTGAATATAAATGTAATGGTACTAGACCCATTTTAAAAGCCAGACCGTTGATGCATGGAAAGGAAAGAAGGATGATCAAATCCCCAAATGGCAGCTGCCACAGCAAGGCAGTGGAACATGACACATCCCCATTCAAATGCTTCCATCAAGGATCACCACATCAATAAAAATTATAAAGGCACATGACATACGCAAAATCTCATGGTTAGAACCAATTTCCCCCATTACCTCACCAACCTTTTTGAACATTTCACTTTGTATATCAAAACAAAAGGCAATGGCTTTCACGTAACATAGGGTTCTTTTACTTTTGAGGGGTTTTTTATTATTATTATTATTATTATTTTAATTCCAAAGTGGTCCATGGCCACCTCTCCCATTTAGTCAAAAAAAGAGCCAATGATTTTGCTTAAAGTTGGCCCCTCTCCACCGACTTAATACACAATTAAGATAGATTCACCCAATAATTTGATGAATTCCATTTCCCTTCCCTCTTACCTCATTCTCCTTTTGGCTTTATGTCTGCATTATTGAGGGAAAAAGGCCTTCGGGTTTCTTTAAGAGAGAAAAAAGAAGAAGCTATAAGCGATTTCCTTTAGGGCATTTAGGATTTAGGTGGGTGAGGTAGGTGTTGAGTGGCCTGTGGTCTCGCCCTGAACAAGGTAAGCTCTCATTTCTTTACTAATAAAATGGTGAGACAGGCGGTTTGAAGATAAGGATTACCCGCGTTAATTACTAAACAAGCTAATAATTCTTTTGGGGTACTTGATTAGTGGTAATGACGTCGGGTTTGATGTTGCCATCGTCAAATGTTTGGAACAATTCAAACATCCCTATTTTTTACATTATTAAAGAAATGAATTTAACTATTCAGAGATTGCTGAAGTGTAACGTACGCATCTGTTTCTGGTTCGCCAACAATATTTTGGAATCTCTACTTCATTATAGTACAGATTAATTCCCAATTTAACTGTGGACGGGTTCATTATGCCGTCTTCTACAGTACCAAATTTAAGATTAAAGAAACATTCAAGGAAACCCGACTACGTCGCTCATTACGCAGTGCTTATGTAGCTACATGTAACGTTGCATCATGGCATGCTATATTATATCCACAATATGAAACCCTATTGGACTTCATCTCACTAAAGAAAAAATTATTGAGCTTTACAATTCAGATTAATCTTTTTTATTGTAAATTTCATATCAGTAAAAAATAAATAAATTTTAAATATATAAATATATATTTTTTACTTCTCGTCAAATATATCTTTTAAGTTAAAAATATAGATATATGATAAATGATTTTAGTATAAATTCAAATTTAATAATTATGGAACTCTATAAAAAGTATAAAAATCGAAATAAATTTAAATTAATATAAGAATTTCTCTCCTTTGTAAGTAGAGAGCAAGTACAAGAAGTCTTTTTATGGGTAAAAAGCATGTTGCACAAT